AAACCGAAAAACAAACAAGTAACCGAATTAAATCGATTATAGAGTGTAATTGTAATTGTGTTGTGCTTGACTTTATTTGTTTAGGTCGGACGCCGAACCATTAGTACGTGTACCGAGGAGCCCACTGTGAGTAATAATGTTGTAAAGATATGTTCAATCGTATTTATTTTTAGATTGATAAAATCATATTGCTTTCTGAAATGATACTTTTTATCGATTAAATGATGATTCTATTTTGAATTGTATTCGTGGCATCCATAGCGTATTGTGATTGTTATTGTTATTGATATCTTTATTGTTATAGAGATCTCTGTCAGTTCCAAATCTTGGAACTAGTGTTATTGTTTAATGGCCATCAATTGATTGTTCGGTCTTTTAAGACCTAGTGTATTATTGCTATGGGATGTACCACGTATGACCTATAAGAATAAGATTGATTGAATCGATTGAATTGAACGATTGATTGACAAATGGTAGTGATTGAAGTGTTCTAATGCTAATCGATTGTTTCAAAAACTGTAAAGGACATCATTCTTAACCTCTTCATACATTTGTTATTCACTGGACTTTAGCTCACAGTTTATTATATATATGTAGGTGGCCAGGCACCGGATAAAAGCTAGAGGTGTTGACCCAAACCCTTGTTTTGTCAAGCCAGCTATTGTCCCTCATTGTGAGGTTTCGAACTAGCATGTGTCAAGATGTTTCTGGGTGGCTCGACTTCACCCTTTTGAGTTTGTTAAGTGAAAAGAACATTTTAAGACTAATGTCAATACTATTCCAGATGATGAGATTGATTCCCTAACTTATGTTTTGTTTTGTATATATATGCTTATGGTCATAAATGGTTATGTATATGGCTATGTACATGAAAGTTTATCTCCATTCAGGTCCTCACAGCTCATTGGACGATGTATGTTGTTATTGATTGGCTTCCGCCAGCCTCGTTATATTGTATTATTGCCAGTATTGTTAAACAGGCCTTCGGTAATCACGGATTACTGGCCAGTTACGATGCTAAACCTATAGGGGCGGGTTTGGGTCGTGACACCAGGTATTGATCCACAGGGACAAATGTGAAATTAGATTAATTCATTCGCAAGATTCCTAAATTAATTTTGATTAAAAAATAAGATTGATTTTATACCGAAACAACAATTAAATAAAATTGAAGAATTATATTGACAATTAAAATTAGGGTTTGAGATATTAATATTCAGAAAAAATCTTTGGGTAGAGAATTCACCACTAACCACATGAATGAGACTTAACATCAGCCACCAATCGCAATTCGGTTTGAACTACCCAATATTTCACAACTACTAGTTTGAAATATTGATCAAGAGGGTTGTTGCATTCAATGTACAGACACGAATCATCCCGAGTAGCACGAGTCGTTTGCTCTAAACTATGTTAGCAAAACGACCCGTCTCTCATAGCATGACTCGTCTCGTACTGTGAATACAAACACAAAGAATACTAATGTATGGAAAGCATTAAATAATCACAGAGAGTAAAATGCTTGAAGAGATGAACGAAACAATTGTTAAAAATTTCTAAATCATCCATACATTCATTCAAACTAATTTACAATTAAAGCTCATGAAAAATTCGAATACATCGCTAGGGTTTCATCAAAACCCTAGAAAAGACAACTAGCCACTCATGGAGGAGTGGAAAGAGGAAGAAGATGAGAAAGAAACCCCCATGGAAGTGTCCTTCTAGCTTTGGTAGAATGTCACCTCTTTGGAACCCTAGCCTCCCTCTATTCTGAATTAAATTTTCGAACCCTAGGTTTGGCTAATTTTCTGTCTTTTATTCGGAGCAAAATAGACCAAAAATTTTGTGCACGCATCCCTAGGTGGGCCGCACAAGCGGTGGTTGGCCGCACGCGCGGTGGTCTGGCTGGCTCGGATTCTTCACTTCTCGCTCAGAGAATCTGGTGTCGCACCCTTTTTGATTGAATTTTCATATTTCCTACCGAATCTGTACAAGTGCACGAAACACATCATCCCCACCAAATAAATAAAATTAAAAGACTAAAAATGTAATTTAAGTGGCCTCAATGTGGTACCTTTCGGCCTACATCAAATTTTCTCTGTGAAAATGTTGAGGGACCTTAGCTAATAGGTGGGCCGCACAAGCGGTGGTTGGCCGCACGTGCGGTGGTCTGGCTGGCTCGGATTCTTCACTTCTCGCTCGGAGAATCTGGTGTCGCACCCTTTTTGATTGAATTTTCATATTTCCTACCGAAGCTGTACAAGTGCACGAAACACATCATTCCCACCAAATAAATAAAATTAAAAGACTAAAAATGTAATTTAAGTGGCCTCAATGTGGTACCTTTCGGCCTACATCAAATTTTCTCTGTGAAAATGTTGAGGGACCTTAGCTAATAAAAAAAAAAAAAAATCTTGGACCTCTCCTATTACATGAAGTTAGAGAATGATTTTTCACTAATTTTTCTTTTTTTTCTTTCTCATGTGCACTTATAATTACAGTGAAAGTAGATGTGCTATTTTCTATTGGTAATTTTGAATAATTTTCCTACACTTTATTATTACTAATGTTTCAGTTTAAATCATGAGGGAATAATATATGAAACAAGATAAATTGCATTTCATTATTTTGTAATTATTTTTCTCAATTTCTCAATTTTGTACCTAAAGTATTATTTTTCTCAATTTTCATGACAGGAGTTGAGATCCAAAATAAAGTCATGTTTGAAAATTTGTTATTTCAGTAATATTTTGACTTTTTATGAAATGACATGGAAAAAAGTAAAGACAACGGTGTAATATTTTATAATAATTTTTTAACATTTTAACTAAAATAGCTATTGAAAAACGAAGTGTAAAATAACATCAAAATACTACGCATTCTTTTTATATGACACATTAAAATAATATGATTTTATTTTAACTTTAAACTTAAATTATTAGATTACAGCTATGAAATTATTGAAAAGAGATCCTTATCCAACAATATTTATCACCGTAATGTAGAAGTTGACCTGTTCAATATAAGACGTCGGCAATAGTCAATAAACTCATGTATAAATTCAACGACACGTCTTGTAATTATTATATATATATATATATATAATAAGTATAATAATACAGAAATGAATCACAGAACACATATATACCAAAAAGTTAACTTTTGTGATTATAATTTTTTTAGATTATTAGCTTAAAATATTTAAAATAAATTATAAATTTGTTGTGTAACTTTTCATAATTAATAAAAATAATAAATATTTAAAAAAAATAAAATTTGAACATGTTTGGTTAAATGAGTTATTAGACAGTTTTTGTTGTGCAAATATTCACGATGCCCCTCAAAAGTTATACTTAAGGCAAAGGAGATAACTCTTTTATCCATACGTATTTAAGAAATTTCAAATAAGCATAAAAAAATTATAAATTATAACTTAAAAAATATTTTTAAAAAAAAATTTGTGGATAAGCTAAAAATATATTATAATTATAAGTTTTATTAAGTGGAGGGGCCGGAATGTATACAGTATGGATCTCATAAATACTGGTCTCTGTATGCAGTATGGATCTCATAAATAAATTTTATAATATATAATCTATTTATATATATATATTATATCTGATTTATATATATACTAGTATATACTCGTGTCTAAAGGTACAGTGTAAATAATGTTGGGATCAAAATGTAATTGAGTATAAAATTATTGAGTTAAAGGCCCCAGAGTGGACTGTTGGTGAGGAACAGTAAAATAATTGAGTTAGCAGTCCGAAGTAGGCTGTCGCTAAATTATTGAGTTAGCAGTCTGGAGTGGACTGTTAGTGAGGAATAGTAAAATAATATCATATTTGTTTTGCAAAGTGAGCTCCAGTTATGTTGTCCCTTTTGGACTACGAAAGATCTTGCCGAGCAGATCAGGAGTCTGGAATGGGAGATGGCATTAGAAAATAATATGTTTTCGGCTTAGGGTGTTACCAGTCATTCGGGAGACGTCTGGCCTGTCAATCAGCCAAGTGCATTTTTTTATTTTATTTTTACATATTGAGCAGCACATTTTGAACATTAATATTTAATATTTTTGTATTTTTTGTTAACTAAAAACGATGGTTATATTTATGTTATATGAAAATAATTTAGGTGTCGTTTGGTAACACTTACGTTTTCAGTTTTCTGTTTACATTTACAAAAATTTTAAAAACTCAAATAAAAACTTGTTTGGTAAAATTTTTGATTTATAAATCAGTGGTCTCAGTTTATAAATAGGAAGGAGATTAATATCAATCTCCTCCCTCACCGATCCACAAACAAATGGGCAGTTTCGCAGACACAATGCGGACGGATGTGGTTTAGAAAATGACATTATTGCGGGTTGCGGGTTAATTTTTTTTTATTATATTTTTTTAAAAATAAAAACCTAGACCATTGATTTTTTAGGCAAGTTTAAGATTTTGAATAATTTTATTTTAATTGTATTGTTGGATGGTGAATGATTTTGATGATTTAATTTAAGATTTTAAAAAGTGTTTGTGTTAATTTATGATTTTATTTAAAAGTTTAGAATTTTGAATAATTTACTTGTGTTAAGAATTGATTTTGTTGTATTTTTAATATTATAAATTTTAATTCATTAATTATTAATGTTGAGTATTTTAAAAAAAATTTAAAAAAAAGGTTCGAAATAAATATTTATAAAACGGAAAAAAAAAAGTGGGGAGTTCAGGGTCAAAAAATATATATAATATTTATTTGTCTTGCCTTCCTGGAAATCACTACCCCAATGGTTCTTCTACAATTAGTTGAGGGCCAAAGTGGGGAGTTTGATCTCCACCGTCAGTTCAACCACATTTCAGAATCAAGGGTGTCAAGGCCATTGTGTGACAGCATAATGGAAGAGTCCAAAGTCCAAAGTTGTGGCTATGACATGGATGGATATTTTCTTAATTGCAAAGCAACCCGTCAATATATAAAGAGCTCTCTCTCTCCTCAACACTACAAAACCACAAGTGCCCATTCTTTCTATAATAGCCATCTAATTCCATACACTCGTATATGTCTTGTTCTGCTACTTCAACTTTGACAATGGTGAGTTTTTTTTTTTTTTTTTTTTTTTTTATAGGTCTTGCAAATATTTCATTTCAGTATCAAGTTTAATATATTTATATTACAATAATAGAACAATTCACAACTTGTCCCTATGCTTTTTCCTTTGATACTAGTGAAAAATATTATATTCAAGTTTACTTGCTTATTTATTTATTGATATTTAATTTTACCATTGTTATATTCTTTTGTTAACTCACTATGCTCTTCTTATCGAAGAACTTAACAAAGTATTAGAAAAATATTCTTATATTAATACTTGCAATTATATTACATTCTATTACTATGCAATAAATGTTACAATTCTAATTCCATAAAACAAGTAAACATGACTTGGAGTATCCGATACTTCAAAATTAAGTATCCGATACTCTAAAATTAATGAAAAATTAATTAAGAAGTATCCGATACTTTTAATAAGTATCCGATACGTATCCGCGAGTATCCAAGGAGTATCGATATCCGATACGGATACGATACGGATACGTCACCCTATTTGAAGTATCCGTGCTTCATAGATCTCCACCGTCAGTTTAACCACATTTCAGAATCAAGGGTGTCAAGGCCATTGTGTGACAGCATAATGGAAGAGTCCAAAGTCCAAAGTTGTGGCTATGACATGGATGGATATTTTCTTAATTGCAAAGCAACCCGTCAATATATAAAGAGCTCTCTCTCTCCTCAACACTACAAAACCACAAGTGCCCATTCTTTCTATAATAGCCATCTAATTCCATACACTCGTATATGTCTTGTTCTGCTACTTCAACTTTGACAATGGTGAGTTTTTTTTTTTTTTTTTTTTTTTTTTAATCAACAAAAATCAGTCGTTAATTATTATATTGGTATCTATGGAAGTCAGAAAAAAATTAATCGTTAGTTATTAAATTTAAAAAAATTAAAAAAAATATGACTTAAAGGTCGGCTCCAAACACTAATATTTTTTTTTTTATTTTTTATTTTTGATTGATAAAGTTAATTGTTAGTTATTAAATTTCTCCAAACATTTAAAAGACTATATTATAATCCAAACAAAACTGACGTCTCCAATAGGTATAATAACTATAGGAGAATAGCATTTTCTTTGCTTGCATGATCTCAATTGCTTATTTTCAAGCATGACTATTAGAAAACAAAATACAAGTATGTGATCTACATAAATAAAAGAGGAGGTTACAGTAACACAATGAGATGATGCTGTCTTCTTGACTTCACTTGAAATAATCCATTTTAATGATTTGAAATTATTCAATTTTGTATTGATAAAACTTTTATATGATCTGTGTCGTTTATATTGCAAGTCTGGTGAGCAACAGTCTTTCACACTCAAAATAGAGGTATGTCCTCTTATCATTAACTTTGAAATTACTTTGATTTTTTATTTATTATATATGTATATATATATTTTCAACATCTTTGACAAAGCTACTGATAATAATTTCTGGAACAGAAAGAACATGAACACCGCTCCCAGAGAGTTAAGTCTCTGGATTTCCATCCAACAAAGCCATGGTATGGTTGCTTTTCTTCTTTTTTTTTGTGTTTTATTTTATTTTTTTTATCTTTTCAATTTCATCTTAGTTAATTATGTTGTGTGATACTTTCTCTTGCAGGATTCTAACAAGTTTACATTCAGGAACAATATGTATCTGGAACTACCAATCACAAGTAAGGAACTGTTATTTTTATTAAATGAAATCCTAGCTAGGCAATTTTTTTTTTTTTAAAAAAAAAATTGCGTGTTAGTGTACCTGGTGGTGTAAGTCCGAGTCACAAAATAATCTCTAAAAAATTGGAGTAAGATTACATACATCTTGCCCTCTCCAAATCCTACATTAACAAGAGCATTTTTTTAGATACCTCAAGTTTTTTCTGTTCAACTGTTGTCTTCTACATGTGATCATATTTAGGTATCTGGTCTTCTCTTTCACAATTCTCCAATTTTTTGAACAAATTTAATTTAATTAAAAAAAAAAAAATCACATTCTTAACAAGTAATGCCACCATCAACAGTTGAAAGCACAATGTACATTTTCCAAGAAGCTCCTACTAAAGGAAAATGCACTTTTGGCAATCATGATTATATATCATTTTTGTAGTCTATTAAGTTTCATTGAATTTTTTAGAGTTTTAAATTATTGGTAAATTTTTTATAATGATTAATTTTCTAACTCATGATTTATTTAATCTATAGGTTATAGAGAAATCTATCAATGTTACAGAATCACCAGGTATGATATACATAGTTTACACATTTTATGTGTCTATTTATTTTTATTTTTTTAAACAAAAAAGTTTATCATAGTGGATGATAGTTGCACTTGTACACGTGCTTGCAGTAAGGTCAGCAAAGTTTGTAGCACGTGAGCAATGGATTGTTGCAGGAGCTGATGATAAGTTTATTCGCGTATACAAATTCAATTCTGATGAAAAGATTAAAGAATTTGAGGCGCACACAGATTATATCAGATCCATAACCGTGCATCCAACACTTCCATATGTGTTGTCAGCATCTGATGACACGCTTATAAAGCTCTGGGACTGGGAGAAGGATTGGGCGTGCGCTCAAGTCTTTGAGGGACATAGCCATTATGTAATGCAAGTAGCATTCAATCCAAGAGACACCAACACCTTTGCGAGTGCATCACTTGATTGCACGGTCAAGGTATTGCCTGGTTAATTATCCTTTTGCTTCATTGAAAATATAATCGTGCTATTTATACTTTGGTGATGTTTATTTTCATAGATATGGGATCTTGACACACGTACTCCAACTTTCACTCTCGAGGCGCATTCAAACGGGGTTAATTGTGTCGATTTCTTTGCAAATAGTGATAAAGCCTATCTAATCAGTGGCTCTGATGATCATGATGTTAAGGTTTGCCATCATAATTCCATTCTTTGTCTTCAGTCTAGAAGAATTGGATTCTTGTTTTCGTTTTGAATTTTTTTTTTTTTTTGGGGGGGAATGAATCAATGCAAATTTCGAAATCACTCATATTTAACCTGCTCCAACCTTGTCCTTTTCACTGAAAAGCAAAAATTTTTAAAATTCAAAAACAACTTGTTCGTGCTTTCTAAAAATTAGTTGTTTTCACAAAATAAAATCCTAAGAACAGTTTTCAAAACAATTCTCCAAACATAAATAACTCGGTTACATTTGTTGTTCAATGTTATGAATTCAGGTGTGGGACTATGAGACCAAAACTTGTGTCCAGACGCTAGAAGGCCACACACACAATGTTACAACAATATGTGTTAGTCCAGAAGTTCCCATTATTTTTACGGGTTCAGAGGATGGGACTGTTCATGCGTGGCATGCAATGACTTTCAGGTAAATGTTGTTTGTGGCTTATGCTTTGAACAAAGACAACTTCATCATTTTAATTGTTTGGTGCGAATTATAGTAAATTAGGCAATCATCATTTTTCTGTTGTTATGCTTAATAGAAGACAATTAAACGTGCTTCTGGTTTTATTAATTTTCATTCTAAATTTCTTAACTACTCATTGGCATACAGGCTTGAAAACTTGCTGAAGTATGAACTTGGAAGAGTTTGGGCTATCGGTTGCATTGAACGTTCACCCAAGTAAGTTTATGGGTTATTTTTGCCTCATAGTCTCTAGGTTTGTATTTTTAGATAGATTTGCAACTACTTCTGCATCGTGTAAACATGCTAAATGTGTTTTGAAGGTGGCTTCTTCTTCGTTCTTTCTTTCTTTCTTGTTTTCAAATATCTATTTACCCTTACTGGTACTATCCTTTCAACAGGATTGTAATTGGTTGCGATGAAGGAACCATTATGGTAAAGGTTATGTGTTCTCACAATTGGGATTATGTGAATCGTCAGATTGAGGAGGAAGACTCGAATGAATAACCAAGTCGTTATGTTGATGCTACGGAGGAATACTAGAAAGATTAATAGCTATTGTTAATGCTTTTACTACTACTTCTGTGGTGTGTTTGAATGAATAATTTGTCTATCTTCCTGGTGGGTGGGAGACTTGAAGAAATTATGTTGTCTACTACTACTACTACAATGGTGTGTTTTGAAGCAATCTCGAGGAGAGAGAACATATCTTGGTCGAAAGAATTATACTTGATTACTAATTTTACATAATTTCTTAGATCTCTCGTCCTCCTTTGTTTGTATTGTGTGTTTTATGTTGTGTGGTTTTATTCAAAAATAAATGACTACTTATGCTTACAAGAATTTTCAATGGCAGTCACATTATTTTTATTGGTCAATGGGCGTTTATCAAAAAAAAATATAAAAATAAATATAAAGGAGAATAAACAATAAAACTCAAGACATGACCCACATGGTCTCACCAACAAAACAAAAAGCTGCACCCTCTCAAAGAGAGAAAATGCAAGAGGTCCAGCCCAACCTTAAGGCCGTACAGGAAAAAGGAAAAAAGAAAAAAAGAAACTGATTGCCTAAAACTTATTGAATAAAAATAAGTTTTGTCAAAATATGCAGTAAAAAAAATTACTTCCTTATTCTTTTTCGAGATTGAATATGAAAAAAAACCCCATTTCAATATATCATATTCGACAAGACAAATAAAAAACACTAATTATAAGTGGCAAATTTATAGGCTTTAGTCACTAATTGCTTGCAACATGATAAGCAGAAAGGAAATTGAGCCACCAGGCAACAATACTAGGTTTGTTCCTTTTCAATTCTTAGTTTTTGTTTTTTGTTATCATTTTCGTATTTTCATAAACAAAACAATAAAAAAAATTTAAAAATATCTATCATTTTCATATTGTTACCAAAAAAGAAATTTCAAAAATAACTAATTATTTTTTTAAAAAGTGGAATGTTAAAAAAAAAAAAAAAAACTTTCAAAAAATAATTTACTAAACAAATTAAACAAGACACAGCAAATCATAACATATCCTTCGTTGCACATTAACACAAGCTCGTGCCTGCCATCTCTCCCAATAGTGCCACAGCATCCTTAAAGCACTCCCACATTATGCGTAACGCGTGCTTCTCCTTAACTATCTTCTCAACCTCTCTAATCTCTTCATCTAGTTTGATTATGGCGAGCTTCATAGAAGAAACTACCATCTCATTGAGCTCATTAGTCCCTCCATCTTGTTCAATAACAGCAAGCTCTTCTTTAGAATCTATGGCTGCACCTGTAGGAGGATCACCTTGCTCTGCAATCTCGACAAAAAGTCTGACACAGTTTGGGTCTATAGGGATATTGTTAGCTTGGAGACCAAAGTGAGCACACACCACTCTCTTCAAACGATCAAAGGCAAACTCAATTTCGAAGCCTGCATATTGACCAAGCATGAAAGAGTGAAACCAACATACAAGTACATTTGCAGTGATGTCCACGACCTTGGTGTTGCACATGCTGTCTATGGCATCACAAACTGTCATTATGTATAACATCTTCACCTTTCGACTTAACCCAGATTTGCCAATGAAATCCCCATATTTTCCAAACAAGGCTTTTAGGATAGATGCTAAGTTCTCAAGGATCATGTAGTTATTGACCTTAATAAGCTTTGATGTGGAATTCCAATTTTCCCAAGGCATTTTTGTGATTTTATTTTTAGAAACAAGCATTTTCATGACCTGCGTGGTGACCTCGCCTAAATATAGGCGGTATTTTGTACCACCTCTTTGGCTTTCCCTATCATAGTCTTTAAAAACTCCTCTTTGGCGTGCCCTATTATAGCCTTCAAAAACTCCTTGTGCACCTCTTTGGCTTGCCCTATTGTAGTCTTCAAAAACTCCTTGTGCTTCCTTGGTCTCATCCCCTTTGAATGAATCTAAAAATTCTTCTAATATCTGTGAAGGTGGCTCCTGAAAAAATACCAAAACACAGTATCAGGATGGCAACTTTTTTAAGAAATTAATCTCCAGTAGAAACTTAAGACTAATTATTCAATAATCCCAAAATACTAGGTGACTTTGTATACTTGGTGATTCAAACAAATCAAGTAGCGTAGCGAAGATTTTTATGGGTAGGGCATACTAACTCACCTTCGTTAGGTTATTAGGAGATAAAATCACCTGCTTAATATGTATTACGGTTTTTCATTGACCGGGAGTATCACGTAGACAATATCACATAATACTCTAGGAGTATCTAACAATTTTCCAAAACATAGATTCTGTTTGGTTCACTGGAATAATCATTCCTTAAATTAATGGTCAATGATGATTCCATTTAAGGTGCCTTTTCCATAATCTTTCAACTAGCGTTTTATAATAGTTGGGATTCCTCAATATTTTTATAGAGAAATTTCGGCATAGAGAAATTTCAACCAAGAGAAATTTCAGTTCTTTAAAGAAAATTTTTTGTTTGTCATAAATTTCTCTATGATAAGTTAAAATTTCTCTAATAATATCATTAAAGGACCTTAACTAATAAGAAAAAAATATATTAAAGCTTTCCTACTATCAAAAGTTAGAGAGAGATATTTCATTAATTTTTTTTGTTTTTTTTTTATCTGATACAAAACAAAGCAAGGAATAAATTTGTTCCATGTTAATAAATTTTATTGACTGAATCTTTATGAATGAAGTTTTGAATTAGGAGAATTTTTTTTTTTTTTAAAAAAAAAAAAAAAAATTGCGTGTTAGTGTGCCTGGTGGTGTAAGGTTACATACATCTCGCCCTCTCCAAATCCTACATTATCAAGAGCATTTTTTTAGATACCTCAAGTTTTTTCTGTTCAACCATTGTCTTCTACATGTGATCATATTTAGGTATCTGGTCTTCTCTTTCACAATTCTCAAATTTTTTGAACAAATTTAATCTAATTAAAAAAAAAAAAATCACATTCTTAACAAGTAATGCCACCATCAACAGTTGAAAGCACAATGTACATTTTCCAAGAAGCTCCTACTAAAGGAAAATGCACTTTTGGCAATCATGATTATTATGTATCATTTTTGTAGTCTATTAAGTTTCATTGAATTTTTTAGAGTTTTAAATTATTGGTAAATTTTTTATAATGATTAATTTTCTAACTCGTGATTTATTTAATCTATAGGTTATAGAGAAATCTATCAATGTTACAGAATCACCAGGTATGATATACATAGTTTACACATTTTATGTGTCTATTTTTTTTTTTTTTTTTAAACAAAAAAGTTTATCATAGTGGATGATAGTTGCACTTGTACACGTGCTTGCAGTAAGGTCAGCAAAGTTTGTAGCACGTGAGCAATGGATTGTTGCAGGAGCTGATGATAAGTTTATTCGCGTATACAAATTCAATTCTGATGAAAAGATTAAAGAATTTGAGGCGCACACAGATTATATCAGATCCATAACCGTGCATCCAACACTTCCATATGTGTTGTCAGCATCTGATGACACGCTTATAAAGCTCTGGGACTGGGAGAAGGATTGGGCGTGCGCTCAAGTCTTTGAGGGACATAGCCATTATGTAATGCAAGTAGCATTCAATCCAAGAGACACCAACACCTTTGCGAGTGCATCACTTGATTGCACGGTCAAGGTATTGCCTGGTTAATTATCCTTTTGCTTCATTGAAAATATAATCGTGCTATTTATACTTTGGTGATGTTTATTTTCATAGATATGGGATCTTGGCACACGTACTCCAACTTTCACTCTCGAGGCGCATTCAAAGGGGGTTAATTGTGTCGATTTCTTTGCAAATAGTGATAAAGCCTATCTAATCAGTGGCTCTGATGATCATGATGTTAAGGTTTGCCATCATAATTCCATTCTTTGTCTTCAGTCTAGAAGAATTGGATTCTTGTTTTCGTTTTGAATTTTTTTTTTTTTTTGGGGGGAATGAATCAATGAAAATTTCGAAATCACTCATATTTAACCTACTCCAACCTTGTCCTTTTCACTGAAAAGCACAATTTTTTAAAATTCAAAAACAACTTGTTCGTGCTTTCTAAAAATTAGTTGTTTTCACAAAATAAAATCCTAAAAGGAAAATGTCTCGTAACTCAAATTTTGTGGCTCAAAAGTGGCTCAAATGGCTAAAACGACGTCGTTTTGGTCATTTTTATGTTGTTCTGTACTCAAAACGACGTCGTTTTGGCCATTTGAACTACTTTTGAGCCACAAAATTTGAGCTACGTAGCATTGTCGATCCTAAAAACAGTTTTCAAAACAATTCTCCAAACATAAATAACTCGGTTACATCTGTTGTTCAATGTTATGAATTCAGGTGTGGGACTATGAGACCAAAACTTGTGTCCAGACGCTAGAAGGCCACACACACAATGTTACAACAATATGTGTTAGTCCAGAAGTTCCCATTATTTTTACGGGTTCAGAGGATGGGACTGTTCATGCGTGGCATGCAATGACTTTCAGGTAAATTCTAGCGGCTTAAATTTGTATATCCAGAGTTTAGACGGCTAAATGTTGTTTGTGGCTTATGCTTTGAACAAAGACAAATTCATCATTTTAATTGTTTGGTGCGAATTATAGTAAATTAGGCAATCATCATTTTTCTGTTGTTATGCTTAATAGAAGACAATTAAACGTGCTTTTGGTTTTATTAATTTTCATTCTAAATTTCTTAACTACTTATTGGCATACAGGCTTGAAAACTTGCTGAAGTATGAACTTGGAAGAGTTTGGGCTATCGGTTGCATTGAAGGTTCACCCAAGTAAGTTTATGGGTTATTTTTGCCTCATAGTCTCTAGGTTTGTATTTTTAGATAGATTTGCAACTACTTCTGCATCATGTAAACATGTTAAATGTGTTTTGAAGGTGGCTTCTTCTTCGTTCTTTCTTTCTTTCTTGTTTTCAAATATCTATTTACCCTTACTAGTACTATCCTTTCAACAGGATTGTAATTGGTTGCGATGAAGGGACCATTATGGCAAAAGTTATGTGTTCTCACAATTGGGATTCTGCGAATCGTCAGATTGAGGAGGAAGACTCGAATGAATAACCAAGTCGTTATGTTGATGCTAAGGAGGAATACTAGAAAGATTAACAGCTATTGTTAATGCTTTTACTACTACTTCTATGGTGTGTTTGAATGAATAATTTGTCTATCTTCCTGGTGGGTGAGAGACTTGAAGAAATTATGTTGTCTACTACTACTACAATGGTGTGTTTTGAAGCAATCTCGAGTAGAGAGAACATATCTTGGTCGAAAAAATTATACTTGATTACTAATTTTACATAATTTCTTACATCTCTCGTCCTCCTTTGTTTGTATTGTGTGTTTTATGTTGTGTGGTTTATTCAAAAATAAATGACTACTTATGCTTACAAGAATTTTCAATGGCAGTCACATTATTTTTATTGGTCAATGAGCGTTTATCAAAAAAAATATAAAAATAAATATAAAGGAGAATAAACAATAAAACTCAAGACATGACCCACATGGTCTCACCAACAAAACAAAATGCTGCACCCTCTCAAAGAGAGAAAATGCAAGAGGTCCAGCCCAACCTTAAGGCCGTACAGGAAAAAGGAAAAAAGAAAAAAAGAAACTGATTGCCTAAAACTTATTGAATAAAAATAAGTTTTGTCAAAATATGCAGTAAAAAAAATTACTCATTCATTTTTGAGATTGAATATGAAAAAAAACCCCATTCCAATATATCATATTCGACAAGACAAATAAAAAACACTAATTATAAGTGGCAAATTTATTGGCTTTAGTCACTAATTGCTTGCAACATGATAAGCAGAAAGCAAATTGAGCCACCAGGCAACAATACTAGGTTTGTTCCTTTTCAATTCTTAGTTTTTGTTTTTTGTTATCATTTTCGTATTTTCATAAACAAAACAATAAAAAAAAATTTAAAATATCTATCATTTTCATATTGTTACCAAAAAAGAAATTTCGAAAATAACTAATTATTTTTTTAAAAAGTGGAATGTTAAAAAAAAAAAAAAAACTTTCAAAAATAATTTACTAAACAAATTAACAAGACACAGCAAATCATAACATATCCTTCGTTGCACATTAACACAAGCTCGTGCCTGCCATCTCTCCCAATAGTGCCACAGCATCCTTAAAGCACTCCTCCCACATTATGCGTAATGCGTGCTTCTCCTTAACTATCTTCTCAACCTCTCTAATCTCTTCATCTAGTTTGATTATGGCGAGCTTCATAGAAGAAACTACCATCTCATTGAGCTCATTAGTCCCTCCATCTTGTTCAATAACAGCAAGCTCTTCTTTAGAATCTATGGCTGCACCTGTAGGAGGATCACCATGTTTTGCAATCTCGACAAAAAGTCTGACACAGTTCGGGTCTATAGGGATATTGTTAGCTTGGAGACCAAAGTGAGCACGCACCACTCTCTTCAAACGATCAAAGGCAAACTCAATTTCGAAGCCTGCATATTGACCAAGCATGAAAGAGTGAAACCGAGATACAAGTACATTTGCAGTGATGTCCACAACCTTGGTGTTGCACATGCTGTCTATGGCATCACAAACTGTCATTATGTATAACATCTTCACCTTTCGACTTAACCCAGATTTGCCAATGAAATCCCCATATTTTCCAAACAAGGCTTTTAGGATAGATGCTAAGTTCTCAAGGATCATGTAGTTATTGACCTTAATAAGCTTTGATGTGGAATTCCAATTTTCCCAAGGCATTTTTGTGATTTTATTTTTAGAAACAAGCATTTTCATGACCTGCGTGGTGACCTCGCCTAAATATAGGCGGTATTTTGTACTACCTCTTTGGCTTTCCCTATCATAGTCTTTAAAAACTCCTCTTTGGCGTGCCCTATTATAGCCTTCAAAAACTCCTTGTGCACCTCTTTGGCTTGCCCTATTGTAGTCTTCAAAAACTCCTTGTGCTTCCTTGGTCTCATCCCCTTTGAATGAATCTAAAAATTCTTCCAATATCTGTGAAGGTGGCTCCTGAAAAAATACTAAAACACAATACCAGCACTACAAGAAAATACACCTTTGTCGATTAAATTTTTAGTCGCCAAAAGTCCTTTTTTAGTCGCCAAATGTAAAATTTCCACTTTCCCCGACAAAATCTTTTAGTCGCCGGGTTTGTCGCGAAGAGACGGTCGCCCATACCTTTGGCGACTAAAAAGCTTTCAGTCGGCAATACACAGGTCTTCAGCAACTAAGGTTTTCGTCGCCAATAGTCAATTCCATTTTTGGAAATTATACCTTTGGCGACTAAACTATTAGTCGCCAATAGTGAATTAATTTTTTTATTATTTATACATTTGGCGACTATTTTTTTCGTCGGCAATGCTCACTCTTTTGGCGACCACAGTGTTTAGTCGCCAAAAGCATTTTTGGGGAAAAAAAAATTTCCCTTTGTGCCTCAAACCTGGGACCTCTAGGTGGTTCCAAACCTTAACCACACACTCCACCCCACTATGCCACTAAACCATCTCATGACTATAATTGCAACTTATATTATTTGTATATTACTTTCATCAGTATTAATACAAAACTATATATATAAATGTAATTATATATATTCAAATATAATTTATGTAAAAAATAAATTATTTATTAAAAAAAATTTAGATCACTTTTGGCGACTGAAAAAATTATTTAGTCGCCAATTCTATTATTTTTGGGCTACTAATTAATTTTCCGTTGCTAAAGAAAACTATTCCGCCTAAAAACCTACCCTTTTGGCGACTAAACCTGTTTTTAGTCGCTAAAAACCTCCCCCTTTGGTTACTAAAGTGAATTTTAGTCGCCATAAACCTATTTTTAGCTACTAAAATATCAAATTAAGTTGAAATTCAATAAATATCAAATGAAGATTGAAAAAAAACAAATTAAGTTGAAATTTAAAAATTCAAAAACAAAATAAGGTAAATCTGGAAAAAAAAACAAAATCTAATATAGCTCTAATAATAGAAGAACAGAAGATGGTAGTAATTTAAAAATTAGACAAAAGTGAAATGTCATCTATAATTTTTTTTAGTTTGTAAAAAAAAAATCTCAAAAATAAGAACTGAGGTGTAGTAAGTTAAAAATTAAACAAGAGTTAAATAGCAACTATAATTTTTTAAAATTTAAATTTTGTGTAGTTAAAAAATAAGCATTTATGATATCTTATTATACAAATTTTAATTCTATTTTGTGTCTACTACTAATAATTTTTAACAATTCTAAAGCTACTTAATTAAAAAATAAAATAAAATAAAATCAAATCAAGGGATCACCCTATAAATTTCAACATTTTTTGTATTTTGAAGCTACTAAATGAAAAAAAGGAAAAATTAGTCAGAGTATCACATTTTAAGTAATGGAAGAGATTCACAATATTATTTTATAATGTCTAAAGGCCTTCAATCCTACACTCATATATCATAGAGAAATTTTGTTACCATCAAAGTCTTGAAGGCGAAGTAATGAATTTATGAATTTCCATAAGAACTTGGAACGCATTGTTGATATACAACATTAGCAAACCTTAGAATTCATGTATATGTATATGTATATGTATATATATATATATATATATATAGAGAGAGAGAGAGAGAGAGAGAGAGATTACGGTGGAGCATGATATTAGGGCCTTGTTTGGTTTGTTTTTTAGAGAGAAATTTTGGAGAAATTTTTTTAAAATTTTGTTTGGTTTAGTAATTTTGAATTTTTTTTTCCAAATTCACTCTCTCTCCTACATAGCAATCAATCACTTTTTCTCTCTCCTCTCTCATTCTCAATCACTTTTTCTTTCATACACATCTACTCAACTATAACAAAATATCAAATCATCACAAGCTCTCATACTCAAAAACTATTTTCAAAATATATAACCAAACAAACTAAGAAAATTTCTAAACTCTCTCCTCAAAATTTTTTTTGAAAATTTATCTCCCAAAATCAAACTAAACACACCCTAGGACTTTGCACAGCTACTCATCTTTTGCTTAGGCACTACTCAAGAAACCGCTTTGACTATCAATCATCGAACCCTAATCATCAATATTCAAACTGATTTCCAGGTACTATTCCATGTTTATAAAGATAACTAACACTTTTTTAGAATTCAATACACTGAATTTTATGAGGAATTTATTAGAATTCTGTCTTGTGTCCTTGTTAGCTTTAGATAATTCTGCTACTGAACCACCCATTTGGTACTTGTTTGAACTTACTTTTACTCAGGCACTACTCAAGAAACCTCTTTGCCCATTGCTCAAGTTTGACACCAATGGAGAGTGGAAAGTCTAGAGAAATTTGGAGAGAATTACTCTAGAGAGTGGGAAATCCAGAGAAAGTCTAGAAAAATTTGGAGAGAATTTCTCTGGAGAGTTGGAAGTCTAGGGAAATTTGAAGAAAATTTCTCTGGAAAATGGAAAATCCAGAGAAATTTAGAGAGAATTTCTCTGGATATGGTAAAAGCAATAGTGGTGAATGAGATGATCCTAAAATAGTACCAGAAACTATTACTGATGAATAGTGGGTTGTGGTAATATATTTAAGGCATCAAAATTAAATGTCCCTTAATAGAGTTCAATGCAAAGAACAGGTTTCTAAGCTGACCCAAGGCTTTTCCATTTCTAATCTTTTTGCATATACATTTATCTTTTATATGTGGTTGATTGTCATTGGTAGTTGCCTCTGTCATACTATAATGAGCCATTCAATTCTAAACTTACATGTTAAGCTTGGCAATTGCAAAAGCAGGTTATAGTTTTTCAAAATCTATCAAAATGTTGCTTATTGACAATAAAATGGGCAAGGGAAATCCAAATAAAGTCCAAAGAAATTTGGAAAGAATTTCTCTGGAGAGTTGAAAGTCCAAAGAAATTTGGAGAAAATTTCTTTACAGAGAATTTCTCTAGGAAGTTCAGAGAATTTCTCATAATTGAAATTTCTCTAGATCAATGTTTGAGGGACCGTAGACATTAACAAAATATTAGATATCCTTTATACTATAAAATCTTAATACCAGAGACCTTAAAAAAAATTCCCATAAAAAAAAATAGCATCACTTTTCTTTTTAAAATCTTAGTTTCATTTTAATTTTGTTTTGTGTCAATAACCTATAAATTTTAGCAATTTTTGTATTCTAGAGCTACTGAATAAAAAAAAAATCACTTTTCTTTTTAAAATGTTAGTTAGTTTTATTTTTATTTTGTGTTAAAAGTCAGTAAAGTGGCCTTGGTAGTGCTATGCACGATTATAAATAAATAATCAAAAATTAATTTTAAAATTAAATAATAATATAAAATTTATCTAAAATATGTAGTGAAAATGATTTATAATCAATTAAATTTTATTCATTTTTGTCAAAGTTACACATAAATGACTTATATATTTATGCTAACATGACATTCACCTAATCATTAAAAATTGTATTGATCTATGCCCAACTTATGAATCATTTGACCTATTTATTTATTAAATTGGTAAATAAGTATCTATAAGTATTTTTTATTTTTTAAATAAGAATTATGAATTTATTTTATGCATATCTATTAAAAAATTTAAACTTACATAAAAAATTATATATTTATGTTAACATTATGAAATAAATAGTTACATATATTCATATATTAAAAAATTATCTAAGATAAAGCCGCCCTAAATTATATGTCGTATTTTAGCTTTAATCTTAGTAAAAATATTTGATAATAATAAATTTAAACATTATGTATAAATTATATCATAATTTATCGATTCGTAACCGGTATGAGCTAATTTGCGGGTTCTAATATTGGATTAAACATTCAATGGGCCAATTTTGGGCCCCGTTTTGATGATCTAACCATTCACATTTTAGGGTTTGTCGACATCATCCCTGTAAAAAATCAAGTCAATCAAATAATGGAAATCACGTGTTTGGATCAATTTTGTATGAATTGTTTATTTTCTCACCATCCATTTTTTTCATACAAAATTGATACAAACACATGGTTGCCGTTATCTGATCAACTTGATTTTTTACAGATATGATGTACCTGACGAATCCTAAAATATGAATAATTCAAATTATCAAAATAGTGCCCAAAAGTGAGTGCACAAGACCCAACACCACCTTTCTAGTCCGATGGAGGGCTGGAGAGAAGCCCAGGCCATGTTAAAGAATTAATAATGTTTAAATTTTAAGTTAAAGAATTAATTATTTTCCATGTGTACGTATGAATGTATCAAAATCATGCATTAATGCAATCTTAGAGAAGCAATTTTGAAAATAAATTTAGTATGGTAAACATAAATTAAGGAAGTAATTTGAAATGGTATGGTAGCATAATTTAAGGGTTTAATATAAAACTCTATGAATTTAATTATGAACAAATTAAAATGTAACACATAATATTTTCATTATTAAAAAAATTAAAAATTAAAAATAAATTTTGAGTTGAGATTTTAAACCTTAAAGAATCCCTATAAACGTTTACTGTGTATGAAAATAATAAGTTTTGATATATACGTTGAGTAGTAATGGCCATGGTGAGAGAAAAAAAAAACAAGTTACAAAATTTTAATTATATAAATTATTTTATCCTTTATGGTGAAGAATTTAAAATATTTTAATAGAAAATATTTTACAACGAAATATTTTTGAGTGTGTTATTTATTAATTTTTTTAAATTGGAAAACTCATTTTTTGAGTCCGTGATTTATTAATTATTTTTTTAAATTGAAAAATCAAGAAATTTGGATTGAGCATTTAGAGCTCTCTTAACTCTTCTCACTAAAAACCCCTTTTCAGTTATATAATATATAGATAGATAGATAGATGAGCCAAACTTGAGATTGAGAATGGACATTGTGAAGGAATAATCATTCAATTTCATTTCATTCTAGTAAATCAAACATCACCTTAAAATTGATGGTTGCATTATCTGAGAGGTCATTGTTAAGGGCAATCTTAAAAACCATTTTATCATTAAAATGCAATACGGTCAACCGCATGGGACCTTAAAACCAAAGCTAAATCCTCAATACCAATTGGTTTTAAAGGAAATAGTGAAAGTAGAGGAAACAAAAATCCTCACAATTATCATTATGAAAATTTCGTTTTTTGTTTTTATTTTTTGTGTTTTCCAAGAGAGAGGAGTATGAAAACACTGATCATTTAAATTTTTGTGCATTTTTTTCTTTTTTTGTTTTTTTTGTTTTTTTGAAAATTTAGAAACTATTTTAAATTGTTTCCTAAAGAATTGTATTTTTCATAAAATAGTCCAAAATTGATTTTGGAAACAGTTTTCCATGTCAAGTTTTGTTATTTTTAACAAAAAAAACCAAACATACACCTTTGTTTCTAAAGATTATAAATATATGAAAATACCATCAAAACTACTAAATAAAAAATGATAAATAAGAAGGAGAATCGCAATTTTTACCTCAACTTCAGATGCACATTTATGGCTTTCTTCCTCTGACCACTCTTCCTCTAGAATCCGCATGATCTAATGAACAACCAACAGATTTAACTTAGAACAACTACTGTATAGGAGACTATAATAATGTAGTTAAATAAAGAAAGGACAAACAATGGAGGAAAGTTATTAAATAATCTAAATTCAATTACTTTTCTCCATTTTCCATTATTAGTTCTTTTCTAGATGCCCTAGTTTGCAATTCCTCAAAAAGCTACTTAAAAGAAAAAGAACGCTTTACTTTAATTCAGAAATGCCTATGAATACTAGCATATTCTTACAGGTATAAAACCAATGCAAGAAATTTTCTTCACAATTTGAAGTTGAAGTTCCTTATGCTATGGAAACAAACATGCCATCAGTTATTAGTTTGGGTTTAAACAAAACATAATTTGCCTCTAAAAATGATAACTGTCTCAAAACATCATGCAAAGACAGATCAATCAATAGTATTGTTTTTTACTACCCTAGTTTTATGGCTAATGTTTGCATTTTTGTGAGAAATTACTTACACTGGTCTAGAACATGGCTTAAAGGACTTTAGCTCAACACATTTTTTATGATAATAATAAAAAGCACATTCACACATCCTACAGGGAAATTCATTTTATCAGATTTTGTCTTGAAAACACACACTAGTAATATTTTATTAACGATAATAAAACATTACAAAGAGGGAGAATGAGAAAGGTAAAAAAGAGAAATCAGCCGTCCAATCCTCAAACTACAAACAATCTACAACCTTCTGAAGATGCCCTACCAATAAAGCAAAAGAGTTGACCAGGAGGCAACTCGTGGACACGAAAAAAATTCCATAAATCAATGCCAAAACAGACCCAACAAATAAACTCTGCTCAAAAGAAAAAATTTCATGACCTTCCAAAAAAGAAACACAAAGACCCAACATAGTTACCTACACTTACACCCCCTGTAGCCCTGTCTAAAGTGAAAATGTTAGTTTTTCATCCAAAATGACAGAGAATGTGTTCAGGAGATGAAATAATAACTTGACATGTTTTCAATAGTTAAAATGACTTTAATATCCTCAAATTGATATATATAAATATATGTGTATCTATATGGACACAATAATATGCCAACAACGATGGTGGGGAGTGTACTAAGAAGAATGTTGTTAGAGAGGAATGTTGTTCTGCAATAGCAATGGTGAGGGGTGAAATGAAATCCTCTAAGAATGGTGCATTATCAAGAGACAATATGGGCAAATGAGGACAAATAAGGTGGTTGTGTTTCTTCTCCTGCTCATTGTAGATGAAGTTAAAATTCAGCGGTGAAGGAACAACATGGCAAACAATCACAAATTATGTTGTTGTTTTCTTCCCACAGTCATCATAGATTAATTTAAAATTCAATACTACTTTTACAAGCCTTTATATTTTTTATCACCAAACATGATCTCATAATCCGAACCAGTCAAGAGAAATACTGATCATTAACCAAGAATAACCAGCAGCAAACATCAGCAGAGCTTTAACTATTTTCCACCACACTGATGCCTTAAGAATAAAACCAAACCAGTCAAGAGAAACATATCCCTCTCTTCTAAATTTATCTGCATGGTTGGGGTTGTTTAATGCTGCTACCAGTAGCATAGAAGACAGCAGCAATAAGATATTGACTAGGGGACTTAAAAAGTTTGCCGTGGGCTATGAAAATATAAAATCCCTTCGGAAATTTCCAAGAGTGGTTTTATTGCTTGGGAGCATGCTATTGATAGAAGATTGACTTTCTACCATGTGAAGTCTTGAGCCCAAAAAATATGGAAAGATAAACAGGAAGATGTTGTAACTTTGGATAATGGATGAAGTGTTCAAGAAAAAAAAAAAAAAATTGAAGAGGCTTTGAAATCTATTCTTGAAAATGGGCCATACTACTTTGGAAGTACATTAATCCTTACAAAAAAAAAAAAAGTAGCATCCCATATGCAACTTACCAAGAGCTCTTAGTGTTCCCTTTGGGTTAAAGTTTCAATGCTCCTCTTGAGTTATTGACAGAGGATGGCTTGAGCTACATTGCGAGTGCAATCGGCAATCCCCTATATCTTGATGATCATACAAAAATTGTAGTAGATTGACTTTTGCTAGAGTTTGTATTGAAATAGAGGCTACCGAAGAGATTCCATCTTTATTTGTAACAAATTTGGGCTATGGTGAGCCTTATAGTGGAAATTCCTTGGTAACCCCAAGTGTGTGTGGATTGTAAGATCTTTGGCCATACTACAAAGCATTGCCCAAACAAGCCAAAACAATATGGTATACGTATTGCCAAACAAGAGTGGAAGCCCAAATAGAGAAAAAGCAATGGCCAGTGAATGGGAAGAAGTGAAGAACAGAAAAGGTAAGAGAGGTGTTACTTCAATGCGGGCTTATATTGCATCTAGTTCATCTCCATCTTCTTCAAATGTTTTTGAGGTGTTTGTCCCACGTGCGCCAAATTTGGTGGTTCCAAAAGAGGATAATGTAAGTGAGAAAATGCTTTGTGAATTAATCAAGACAAGGATTGACATTTGGGTCAAAGCTCAATCCAACGATTGCAGCTACACAGTGCAATTGCAGCTGTTTTCTTTGGCTTCTGGTGTGGGGTCTTGGGGTGGTTGGAGTTGTTTTTTGTGCTTCTTTACTTGGATCTCTTTTGTTTTTGAGTTGGTGCCTCACCAACTCTTTCTTTGGCTTTGATGCCTTTCTTGTATGCTCCCCTTTATTGATGTAACTTGCTTGGCCTTTTTTCATCAATAAAGTTTTTGGCTGATCAAAAAAAGTGAGAAGGATGTCCAAATATCTGCTCCTTGTGTAGTTACTCAAATTGGTAAAGGTGAAGTAGACCTAAGGGAGGGGACGATAGTGATTGAGCACCTAGAAGATCCCACCTCAAAGGAGGAGGTGGCTGAGGCCCCCCAACCATCCAAGAGTGATCATGAGCTTGCTCTACGTCATTCTACTCGCCTCAAAGGACCCCTTCAAGGGGTGAGAACAAAAATCCTCAAAAATAAATTTGAAAACCTTAAGCTTGCTAGAGAGAAAGCCATTGTGAACCTGTCAATCAAGTCTAAGAAAGCTTGCTTTAAGCCTTCCAAAAAATAGTAGGTGATGTGTATAAGGATTCCTTTGTTGGCCTAGCTTCTTGGGTGTGTGAGATCATTTTTTATTAGTAGCTAGGCCTTTGGGTATTTTTTTTGTTTTGATGGTTGCTCACCCATCATCTTGTACTATATCTTTTCTTTGGATTATATAATCACTTACCCAAAATAAATGACAGGCTTCCAAGTCTCATCAATCTTAGATTTGATCCCAAAGACAAACCCATATACAAAGCAACAAATTGATGCCTGCACTTCAAAACTCTTGCCATCTCTTTTCCAAAGTGTATGAGAGGGTTTAAGAATGTTGTCAGAAAATTCGAAGGCCTGCCGGAAAATTCGAAGATCTTCAAAGATTGCCGGAAAACTCAAATTCTCTAAAAATGGTGAGAGGCTTAAATTCTTCAACGGTTACAACTAGAAACACAATAGCAAAGAGATGATGGAGATAAGAGATTGGGTGAAGAAGAAGGCAAAGTAGTTAAAGAGAGAATAATGGAAAAGCTCTGCCATGGATCTCCTACTTTCACTCTCAAGATAGTTAATGGAGAGGGAAAATTAGTTCTCTCCCAAAATTCTCTCCAAAATCCATCCTTGTAAAGCTATGGGTGGGTGCTATTTATATGCACCTCATGATGTAGGATAAAGCCCATGTGCAAGGCATATGGGGAATATTTCCTCCAATTACCTTGTCCGAGGAGGTGACCTCTCCAAGGATGAGGAAAACCCCGAAGAGGAGATCAACCTCTCGACTAACCCTTCTTCTTAACCACACCTAACTAATGATCCCCAATCATCTCAACGGGTCAAAGGTAGTCCCAGAGGACACCCTGCCGTAGAAGGGTCAAGGGTAATTCAAGAGAATGCCCTGGCGCAAATATTGTCGAGCCTCAGGAACTCCATCGACCCGGGTATAGGCTAGTTTAACCGAAGAGTGAATTTATCTCCACTTACCGTCCTCGGGATCGGGTCCTTTATTCGGACTCCATCATGTCCATGGTTTTGATGCATAGATCCTGGAAAACTCCAAACCCGTAAGTGTTCTGGGACTCATTGACAGAACGACTTCTAGATGCCGTTTAAATCCGTTTGAAGCCAAGTGTTTCGGATCTCTAGGTTTGTGGATCCGAACCTTTTCGAGTCCGAGCTTAAATAGGTCTCTAGGTTCATCGTTCTGAACCCTTTCAAGACTAAGCCAATACCTCAGAGAATGGATCTCCCCCGAAGGTTTCATCTCTTCTGAAAACAATGGTTAACCTCCTCGGACGCCTGTATGGTTTGAGCCTCCTCGGATGGGCTCCTCGGATGGGCTTGTTGGACTCTCTTTTGAGATATATGCTTGATGGGGATGCGCAACTTATCATAATCAATCTCTTTATGCTGATCAAAAAAAAAAAAAAAAAAGATATATGCTTGATGGGTCTTCCTCAACCCAATTTGTTGGCCTTCTTGTGGGTCTGTTCAATAGAATTCACTTGGGCCCATTTGGTAATAATTTCTCCAAGCTCACCAATTTTTTTGGGCTTTCCGATTGGGCTTCGATTGGGCTCAATTAATTTAGTGGGCTCAAGTTAAACCCTCTTACACAAAGTCATCTTGTACTCCAGTTCTACATACTACACTTTTATGTTAGTTAATTTTTAAACCAAAGATGATCCCAAAACATCTCAAAATCATTTTGACATTCCTAATTTCTTGTTCATCAATATTACAAATATCAATGTGTAGCCTGCAAATTGTAAATGAGTTAGAGCCATAGACCTCTATTACCAATGTGAACTCCCTTGATCAAATCCTGCTACTTACTTCTTTCAAAAAGAACATTAAAGCCCCAAGCAGCCATTAGAAATACAAAATGTGAAAGAGGGTCCCCTTGTTCTAATCCCTTCCCCCAGAAGAATTCTTTACAATTGAATACATAATAAATTATTTTCTTTTCTCTTTGCCATAGAGTTTCTTTTTGTTTTGTTTCTTTTGTTTCTTTTTTTTTTTTTCATTTTCTCTAGAGCAAAATTTTTCTGCAGAATGTCCTATGAAATATTATCTCATGACACCAAGACAGCAAATTCAAGATTGATCAATCCCAAGTTTTGAAAAGTTGGATCTTATGATAAATTTCAATAGGAAAAATTGAACTAGGGTGAAGGGGATGCATAAATTGAACTAAAGGAAATAAAAACCGCGATGTATGAAGTAAAAGAAAAGTGAAAGATAAACTGAAACTGACACAATGATTTTATGTGACAATTTTCTTACAATATTGAATATAGACATACGTACCTCAGATGCCACACAATGAGGATGAGCGACATAGTGGCATTCACAACAATAATAACTTGGTTCGGGGAGCCATCTATGTTTTTCGCAATCATCACAGTAGAACTCTGCGTTGTCATCTTCATCCGGGTGGTCTTTAATTGGGAATTTGACGAGGGTGAGGGGATGGCGATGAAATCTAGATTTGACGGTAGGTGGCAATGTTGGAATACAATGGACATGAAGATTAAGTTCGCACCACGCACAACGGAAGCAAGGGTTGTAGCAAGGTTTATCACAAGCGTTGCAAATTAACTTTTCCATTAAACGTGGTGTCTCGTTGAAGAAAGCAAGAGGGTGGTGGTGTATCTTAGACATCATGGTGGTGGGTTTTGAGAAAGCACATCTAACATCCAAATTAAATTCACAGTGGGAACATACATATGCAAAATCAGAATGTATGTGGGATAAACATCCTTCACATGTCTCAAAAGAAGGTCTATCATCGACGAGGTTGAGAGGGTGCGGTGGGTGAAGTGGGTGTTTAATTTCCCGTGGCATTTGAGCACATGATTCATGGATCAGGATATGGCAGGTAGGGCACAAATAGACAGAATCCCCCAAAGGAAGGTTGCACGCACAGCAAGGAATTGGGAATTGCTGTTTATTGTGGCACAAAATCAAAGGATGGGAGTGGGTGAATTGGCGGTGATCTTGATCCTGATCTTCTTCTTCATTGTTTTCAGCAGCAGCAGCAGTAGTAGTAGGCTGCAGATAAGTAGCACAAGCAACGTCCAGGTAAAATTTGCAGTCAAAACAATGGTATACAAAACTCCAATGTCTGTGACAGGCCCAGCATGCCCAAAATTCGTTAAAATCATATCGTTCAGGGTTACGGGAAGGGACGAGGAGTGTGAGAGGATGTAAGGGGTGAAGGGGGTGGTGGAGTTTGGACGGCAATTCAGCACATGATTTGTGCAGCAAGGCTTTGCATTCTTCAAGGCATACGTAGACAGGGGTTTGCTCATTAAAAGGTAGGCAACAGCAACTGCAATAATAAGTATAAATCTTAGGAGGAGGATCGCATAAAATTAAGGGGTGGGGATGATGATGATCATCTCGAGCTTGAGCTTCGATGGTTTTGGAGGAGGAGGAGGAGGAGATGGGGGTGAGAAAAGAGCATCTAACGTGGATTTGAAATGAACACTCCAACTCCAAACATATGTATGCCATAACATTCAAAGGAAACAAGCGCCCACAAGCATAGCATTCTGGGTAAGTATAATGTGCAAGGAAGAGAGGGTGTTGAGGGTGAAAGTGATTGTGGTGCTCTTGTTGTTGTTGCTTTTTCTTACATATTAATACTGGTGGTTGTTGTTGTGGCTTACAAAATAATACTGGTGGGATTGCAGAGCATGATTTGTGGATCACAATTTTGCAGCCGTCAGTACAACGGTAGAGCGAACCCAGGATGTCATCTTCATCTCCATGCTGTCTGCACACTTCACATCTCGCTGTCGGGCTTGCTTCTTCACGGAGGTCCAACCTATGCTTCCGCCTGAAATGCTCAATGATGCCATTTGCCGTCGCCATCTCTCTCCTATTCTTTGTCGTCAACATCTCTCTCTCCAATTCTCTGTCGTCTAGGGGTGTGCACGGGTCGATTCAGTTCAGGTTTACCCTTAGCCTGTGAACATCGGGTGAGAAAATTTGTTATCCCTTGCCGACCGCTGTGAAGTTCAAAATCGACTGAACCAAAGAACGTGGTTTAGTGGTCGGTTAGGTGATTTCGAAAATCCGAGAAGTGTGGTAAAAATCTGTCAAAAAAACGAAATCAAATTTCAATACAACAAATAAAACTTATATCTATCTATCTATACTATTATAAAGTGAACAGGAATTTTGGTATCCTGAAGCTTTACTCTCCTCCTCATGCCATGTGGCAGTATTTTTTTAAAAAAAGTTAAATAAAAAGATGGGCAAGGCTTGAACCCATGACCATAGGTTTAAGTACGAGGACTCATACCACTTAAGCTAAGTACACATTATAATACTAATTTCATTATTATTATTTTTTATTCCTACTTATTTAAATTGCACACACATCGTATCGTATGTGCCACCCACTAGTATATATATATATATATACACTAACAGATCTGTGTGAAAAAGAGAGAGTGAAGTAGAAATTGGGGAAAATGAGGGAGAGAAGAAACTCAAGGGTTTGTTTGGTTTGTACTTGTCGCTTCGTCAACGCTACCGCCTTCGCTTATCTCAGCAACCACCGCCAACTACAACCACCATGACCACCATCGCCCAATGTCTCCACACCCTTGTTGATAACACTTCTCCATTACTACCACCATCAAAGAGGGAATTGAAGATCGAAGATGGGAATGTTTTTTGGGAAATCGTGAGAGAGAAAGAGAGAGGTGGTTAAAGAGTGAAAAAAATATAGGTGGTGGTGTTTGGAAAATTTGTGTTGATTTTTTTTTTTTTGATTTTTTACATTAAAAGACAAATTTTTTTGTAAAATTAAAAAAAATAAGTTTAAACAAAATATCATATCTAATTTTATAATTATTTTATATTTTTTTTTTATAAATATCACATCTAATTATAAAAAAAATCTAATTATTTTATTAAATATTAAACAAATTTTATCCAATAATATTTTACAATTAAAAAAATTTATATAAAAACTCACTTCTCAAACACTCACTATAAGTGATTAAAAAGTAACAGAGAGTAATATAAGTTATTAATTTTTTAATTTTTTTTAATAATTTTTAAATTTTTTAATTAAAAAATTATTTGTCAAACGAGATGTTTTAAAAAATTCCTAGAGTTTAGGAGAGAGAGGCACTGAACAGAGACATGGGGGCTTTGAACAACAACGGAAAAACTGGGGAATTGGGATAGTTTGTCTCAATCTCTATGATAAAGTGGGAATCGAGACAATCAAACTCAAACAGTGATAAAGACATATGCAGGCGTGTGGGAATCGAGACAATCTATTATATCAAACTCAAACAGTGATAATGACATATGACAGGCGTGTTTTTTCATGGTAAAGATAAAAATATTTTATGAAGTGGTCAGGTCAGGTTGACCGAGTGCGTAATGCATTTACCCGTTTTCAATCGTAAATTCGCGGAAAAAAGTGTATAAAAATTGCAGTCGACCAATAACATATTCGAAATCATCTGTGACACCTCGGGTCGGACGATTTCAACGGGTTATCAGGTTCCATGTCGTCCCCCTAACCTCAACACCAACGGGGGGAAGAGAGTTTGTTTCCCTTCCGTTTGGATAGTGAGTTAGTTTTTTAATTTTTTGATTTTTTTAATTATTTTAATTTGGAGTTAAAAAGTTTAGTTTGAAATTTTTTTTTTAATTTTTTAATTTTTTTGACTTTTTTTTTATGAGAAATGAGTAATGATTATGAGTTAGATTTGATGTTTTATTTTTTGTGGTTAAAATAATTTATTTTATTTTTTGTGACTATTTTAGCCTCTAACTCACCAAAACTAACTTTCCAAACTATGCCTAATCAGATATTTACGGACAGTAGTGAAGTCAGGAATTTAATATAGTGATATTCATTAATTACAATCTCAAAATTTTTCTTTCCCAATCAATAATAATAACATAACAATAATTTTTCGAGCTAATGTTAAACATTAAAAATTAATATACATTATAAAAAGTTTTAAATTTTAAACTTTTACAATTGACTACGACGAGTTTTCATCTTTTGAAATCTTTTCATAATTGTATCATTGTCAATGCCATCAAAAATATCTCTCTCAATGTAGACAACCAAGCTATCATTCATCCATTCATCACCCATTCGATTCCGCAACTGATTCTTCACAATATTCATACCTGAAAATACCCTCTCAACAGTAGCAGTTGCAACATGTAAAATTAATACTAAAGTCAAGAGAAAATACACCAATGGATATACTTTGGCCCCGTAGGGATTAATAGTGAGAGGATTGTTAGTGAGGGGATTGATAGTGAGGGAATTAAGTAAAATTGTGTTTGTTTTGATGATAGGTGTTAGTGTAAGAATTGTTAAATTATTTTTATATAAAATAATAAAACAAATAAAAAAATATAAAAAATTAAACATTAATATTTTAAAAAAAATTCCCAATATATAAAAAATAAAAAAATTTCTAATCCCCTCACTATTTTTCTAATACCATCTCTACACCCCTTAAACCGGCCAGTTGTAAAAACCGGCCTATTTATTGAAAACCGGTGAACCCACCGGTTAAACCGGTGAACCGGTCGACCCGGTCACGGGTTGATCGAACCGGACCGGTTTCAATTTTTTTTATTCCTTTCTTTCTTTTTTTTCCTTTCTTTCTTATTATATATATATATATATACATATATATATAAAATATAAGAATATAAGAAAATTTTAATTTGAAACTCTTTTTCAAGGGTCTCCTCTTGTGAGGAATCCCATTAAGAGTTTGATGAAATTATTGTGAAAGTCTTCACCTATTTATAAGAAAAAAACTCTTTCAAAAAAACTCAAGAAATCCATGTGGGATTCAATCAAATGTATTGGAGGGAATATTGAAATTTTGATATCCCTCCAAAATTTTTGCTTTCCTTTCAATCAAATTATTTGAATTAAAATCATATGGAGGGAATATTAAATATTTGATTTCATCTTCAATAATTGAAATTAATAATATTTTAAAATATATTATTATATTTTTCAGTAAAAAAAATATTAGGACAAATATTTAAGATAATTTAATATTTTTAATTTTGAATTTTGTTACTTATATTTTTATTTAAATATAATTTTAATATATTTATTACGTCACGGTTGATTCCGGTTCAACCTGACGGTTGAACCGGTGACCCGTCCACCCGATGCCTTTTCCGGTTCGTTCACCGGTCCGATTTTTAAAACATTGGAACTCACTACTGCATAGCATGTCGGTAATATATGTATCAAGTTGATCATTAAGTACCATGAGCTCTACTGAAGAAAATTCTTTGGGATAAAATTCAGCAAGATGAATTAACTTTTTCCTATCAAAACTAGAGAAAGAGTTAGATGGATTCAAACATGCCACACAAAGTAACAAATCAGTGTTCGACTCAGTGAAATGAGCATTTAGTTCTTGAACTTGCATATCCAAAACAGTGTAGAATAACTTAGCGCGATAGTGATGTAAGTTTGTAATTTCTTGAGCATTGCACCTTTTTCTCCCTCGAGCTACAAACATATCTTCCATTTGGGGAACATCAATTTCATGCTTTTCACAAAAAGACAAAATATCATCAAGTAAAAATGTCCACCTACTCTCCCTCATCTTTTGGAGCCGTACTTTAGAAATTTGAACTAAATTCATGGCATTAACAATATCTTGATCTTTCCTTTGTAGTGCTTGTGATAGCTCACTTGTAATAGCCAATATCGTTTTCATCAAATGAATGTTGAATACAAACTCAAATGATTGAATTGAGTCTAACAACACATTTTTTTCTGCTCGTTGTTCTGAATTTGAACCATCCTCCGAAATCATTTCAAGCACATCAATTACTGTTGAAAACATACTAGCCAAGCTGACTAAAGAAACTGTAGACGTCCCCGAACGGCCCGGGAGGAACAAGTCCCCCGTTCTGTTCGATATTGGGCTCACTATAGTTCGGACTCTCAATTTGTCACGGTTCTAAATCTGAACCAAAGAGTCCAAATCTGGCAAATTGTTTTGAGAAAACAGATTTTGAAAGAAGTGCCAAACATGGACTGCTTTGCCAGATACAGAGTCGCCACCTAAATATTTTATTTTGGGGAAATTTAGGAAACCCTGACTCGTTTGCCTAAGGCCACATGTCCGTCATCACCAAAGTTGTCTCGGCTCGGGAACTTGGATACGATTGGTGAAGGTCACTTCGTGAGCACCCCCGCTCGCCCGATCAAAGATCGGCCTCTACTAACCATGATATTTATTTTTGAAAACATTATGCGTTCTTATTCCGGTTATTAGCCTAGATTTACTATGTGATGCGCACAGCATACAAGTATAGACTGGATCGCCTGAATTGGAACAAAACATTTCATGTTTGTTTGTTTAAAAATGGTTTGATGGTGCTACTCGCAAGTAGGCTAAGGCGTGGATTTGCCACCCTCAGGTGGGCTTAGAAAACATGATTTTGCCACTATCTAGTGGGCTTAAAACACACAGTGAATGAATTGTTCCAATCCAAGTAACCCAACCTTCACCCACAGGCATTCAGGCAGTTATATCACATAAGCAATTAGCCTTATGGTAAGCATGCTATCATGGCAGTCACTCACACGCATGCAAGGATGCTAAAGCATAAAACTTACCGAGTACTCCAAGCCAAACCAGAAACTAATTAGAAATCCATGCATGATCCTAATTATACAGAAATGCCTAATGCAACACATGCAAAAGTGCAACTATAGCAGGCTCGACTATTCTAGACATGGCATATGAAATGCTACAGCTAACATGTATTCAACTTGGAATTGAAAATACAATGCAGTTAGTATGATGCGCCGAGCCTGGTGCATGCAAAACAGATGAATGAATGCAAACATGCTATCATACTGTATGCTAATTGAAACATGCCCTAATCTAACCATAATAAGCGGGTAAATAAAAGGGAGAAAGACGTGAGATTGGAAGACATACATCACACACACGCACACTTATTACAATATTGCCCTCGCGCGGAGGGTCCAAAAGAATAATATAGTCCCGAATAAATATTACAGTCCAAATAATTACAAAATCCTAATTAATTAACAAATTAAACTAGGTAAGCTGTAAACTAGCATGCAAGCTAGGGACTGCCTCGACTCTGCTTCGGATGGTGAATGATGCATGCTCGGGTTGCTTGGCACGGAAATTCACTGCGATGCCCCAATTAGCCTCTGTTTGCGATTGATGCCGGAATGTTGTGCAAGGCCTTTGAAAGGCTACTGATTCTTGATTTGCTGCAACAGAGAACAGGAAAAGGGCATGGCAAGGTATTTTCACGAATGTATGCATGCCTCGATCCTCGTGCCACCAATCACGCATCTCGATGCATGATGGCCGAGGAGTCGAATTGTGCAACTCAAAATGGAATGAATGCACACATAAACACAACAAAACCTAAACTCCATCATGGATAATCCGGAGTGTCGGATTGAGACACGTTCCGTCACTCGGAGTACGAAACGTACCTCGTTTCCCGTGCTCGGGCTAACTCCTATCCCAAGCACAATGCAATATGCATGACATGCATGAATGCAACTAATATACAACCTAGCATGCACAATGCTATGAAATGGCATACACGACGCACGAGATAACATGGCATACACAATGCGCTAACATACAACCTAGCATACGCAATGCTATGAAATAAAATAGCATACACAATGCATAATGGACTTACACTAACATG